ACCGATAATGAACGATCGTCGGTCGTAGCTTGCTGTGATGTAAGAGGCACGGTGGCCTTAGAGCGACCGTTTTTGCTTACCGAGCAGAAGATCGTGAGTTAAAACCCAAGCCATCTCTTAATGGAATTTCGCTCATTTTCAACTTCTATTCAATTTTCATTCTGCCGTACTCTAACGGAACTATCTACCTACCCTCTTCTAAGACCATTCTCTAGCTAATAAATTATCACACTAAAGCTTCATGCTAGATAGCATTTCAAACCAACTCTGGAAATCGCAAACTTCTGTTATTTAGATATGTCGTTAGGGTGGCCCTTTGAAAATCACCTTCAAAAGACTTTTAAAACTTTTAACATGCTTTGCAAAAACATTGTCTGTATCTCTTTTTATAAAGACATTATTCCCGAACATATTTTAAAAGATGAATGAAGTCAAATTGATTTTATATGATTTGAAAAAGTATATATATCTTATGTTATCGTTGTGTCCTTTTAAATACTGGCTGAAAAATGTTTATGTATTTGTCTCATCCTGAGTAATTAACATTTGAGAAGGCTGTATTTTATAAAGACAATCGTTAATATCGCGTGATCTCTTTTTATTTTTTTTCCTTGATTTGTTTTCCGTTTATCTTGTCTTCCGTGCTGAGCGCCAATGATACCGATGCCAGGGATACAGCTCATACACCTGGACCCTACATATCGACTCATCAACTCATGAACCGGGACCAACGGCTTAACTTCCCTTTCGAAGGAAGGCGTGATCAGAGATGTTATGCCTCAGAAAAACCCGGCATAGCCCTGTAACTAAGCCAAGGAGGTCTCTTTCAATGCCGTCTCACTCTTTTCTAGAAACCTGTAGAACCTGTTAAATGTTCATTTATCAATCCATGAATCAAACTTAGTTATGAGGCCTTAGTTCCTATGGAATGCCGATAATAATTCCAAGCAAAGCGAATTATAATGTTAAAGATAATTCCTAGGAGAATTCTTGAGAGGCGAATTTCAAGGATCATCTAGGAGGGTTCCAAATAAATTCTAAGGAGAATACAAAAGGAATCTTTAGTAGAAGGGCTTTCCAAGAGATTTTCAAGAGGAAGAGCTAGGAGAATTCCAAGGAAATTCCATGGAGAATCTCAAGGACATATTCATTCGATTTATAAGAAGAATGTACATGGAATTCTGAGGTGAATACCAATGGAATTTCAGGAGAATACTTTGGGAAGATTGAGGCTTCCAACCACTACTTGCTAGACGCACATCTCTACATAATCAACCTCGTTGACAGCAATATATGTAGGTGCAGAACGATTATGATGACGTCGATCACGCAGTTTGGCATTGTCCGGGTAATGACGCCTCCAGAGCACGACTGTTGGATACCCTAGTGGTCCGAGGTAGACAACCCTTCCGTGAAGTAAGAGATGTAATGGGAACACGTGATCTTCCCTACATACAGACGATCTACGAATTCCTTTATTTGTCTGATGTTAGGTTTGATGTGACCATCCCCTCCTTTCCAAACAATTTTCAGCCATTGTGTCCCAGTCTTATTATCCTCCTGTTTCTGTGCTACTTGCCCCTGCCCAGCCGGGGTTTGGTCAATCATCAAGCTTAAGCCCGCCACGAATAATTGGTACGCAATACTAACCTATAACTATTGCTGTTTAAAATGTAAATTCAAACATTACTGATTTTTGGCTCCGGAAAGTTTCAGACACGACTGAGCCTAGTAAATAGACGAACGAGTTAAAAAAAGTAAGAGGTTTTATCCAAGACACTACCGTAGGTTTGACGTAGAATTTCGTGTTCGGAGTCAATATTCGGCGACTGTGTTGGGGAAACCGCTTTTTCCCATCAAATTGGCGTCGAAGAAGTGTTTCTGGTTCATTGACAAAGTCATGAGGTATTCGGTCATTGCGAGAATTTGTATATTCAACTTCAATACTGTTATGCAATTGACCACAAACGTTTTAGTTGCTGGGTACATTATCGAAGATCTTTGGGGATGCAAGGCGAACGAACGTTTAACTCTTAAACAACAATAATTGATGGTGGTCCTGAAAAGAACCGTTTTGTCGTGATGGTAGATTAACGCTGAGCTAGAAAGGTGTTCAACACGAATGAGGCTGGCAAGCTGTAAGTTTTTTGGAACGAGGGTGACGTGCTTGGTATAGATGGATCACAGTGACTCACTAAGAGTTACTGAATCCGATCAGTAGCGGTGCGGCTTCTTCCTCCTTCTTGGGTGAATGGACGCTCATGTGGGCTGCAGCACGCTGCTTGCGGGCAGCCTTCCGTTGTGTACTGGAGAACAATGTTCGACGCCACGCGCAGAAAGCACTGACGGCCGACCAGACACCACCACACGCGGTGATTTAATAAGCACCGTTCGGCGAGACTGGATAGAATTCGATTTTGAAATCTGTGCTAGGGAATGCGCTTTCAGTGGACACTTGTGTAATTTTAAATTTTCAATGACCTATAAAATTCATTCGCTATTGTCAGAGTTATAAGTGGTCAAAATCTTACGACTTTTCGTAACGCGATCGTCTTTGGTTTTTGAAATTGCACCCCCAATATGTTGCCGAAAGACGTAATCCTACGTCAAAACAGATTGAGGTTAAGTCCAGGGAATTCATAGATCATTCTGATTACGACTCCATGAAAATTCGAAGGTGAACCGTGAGATTTTTTAAAAGAGTTCTAAGGTTTCTAAATTCTAAAGAACGAACCAAGAGAATTCAAAGATACATTTTAATGGAATTTTAAAATAGAGAGAACATGTAAGCAGATACTCGCGAGAGTTAATGAAAATACGTGAATTGTCTGGAGAAAATTCGAAAATTGTCATAAGATTGTTAGGGAAATCCTGAAAGTAACTATGAAGCCACTTTGCGATAAATCTTATGAACCGTATGAACATTTATAACTTATTCTATGAAGGGATTTATATAAATTATCTAGTTAAATCTTACACAGATTTGTTTTCAAGTACCGGACACATCAATTCACGATTGAGTATGAAGAAGATAAATTCAAGATTATGGCACAGCGAAAAGTGTTTAGGGTGTAATGCTTTCAAAAAATTCCAAGATCCCAGTATATGTAACATAATTCGGTCCATAATGGTTCCTTTTAAGGCGTAGTTCATCTTCGGAGGATAAGAATCCCATAAAACTGAAACCCATTAAATCTATACCAATGCAACTCCCGATTCAAAATGGAAATCCAATTTAAATAAAACGACCGTGGAACCCGAGACTTCTTCAATGCATATTAAATTTTCCAGCAGCCCTCCGATTTCCATTTCTCATGCCAGGCCAGCAAACCCTTGGCGAAATAATCCACGGTTCGATGTCATTTCTATCCCGCAAATTACGCAGAAAGGATAATGATTTCCGTTCCATTCCCCCGAAAGCGCGCGCGCGGTGACGACAGAACCGCATGGGATTAAGTTCCGATAAGATGGGAAAAAATGACTGTAAATGGTTCAAGATGAATAATTTAATGGCTCAGCAGAAGCAACATAATACAGAATGTGCGTTTCGGTGGAAATCCTCACAGCGGAAGGAAACGAGACGACAGCCACCACATACGTCGAGGAAAGGTTATCCTTGTAGGCTTTGTAAATGGTCGGGAAGAGAGGGATTTAGGATTTGAATTTAAGCTTTGGGGAAAATCTGGGCTTCGACTGATTGTCACATTCCCCGAAAAGCCTCGCCGCCACGTGTGCGTTTGATTGAGGCAATCGGAGGCTTGCTTTGCCAACTTGAGTTCAATACGACTTCCTAGGAAAAATACGTTTCAACCTTTGAAGTGATGAAGAACTATATTGCAACAGCTGCTGCATCGAGTCAACCCACACGTATTACAACGTAACTTTACGGTTCACGTTATACGCCGCCTTCACGTCTTGAAAGACGATGATCAACAAAGAACAGGTAGCCTCGCTGCTGCCACTCTATGTGCTACACTCTAATCTATATTAATGGATATAACGACACCGTAGACACCCACCATCCCTATCGGCGACGCCAAACTGGAGAAAGCGGAACCGGGCACGACTGAGTGCTGATCAAGAAAAATGCGTTCACATCTTGTGACATCACTGTACTGTCGCTTATGGCACCATCATCATCATCATCATCATCATATGTTTGTGCTGAAGACGTGGAGAAATGGCTGCTCGTCTTGAGTGACGGTTTGAGCCATTAGTGTCTATATTCCGCACACCACCTGCTGCCAGGTGGATGGGATGATAATGGTTCCGAGATGTAAACGGATGCTGGCTGGAAATATGGTGCTTTAACCGTATGTACTTAGACGTGGAAAACGAGCAGAACTTAGAATCTAAAATTGGGTTGGCTCGCAGTTGGAATGAAATTCGTTTGAACTGCTGCGATTTCGTAAGCAACCGTCCTGAGAATTTGTTTGAGAATCGTCTGAATTTCAACATTAGATTTGGTGCAGGCGAAATTCCAATTTGAATAAGATTAGCAAATCGAATTTTTAACAACACTGAGATGTTGTTAATATCGGTAAACCCCCAAACGTAAGCCGTCGAAGTGTAATCCCAACACTAACCCAAATAACATACCCGAAATTAGTTTATCAAAAGCTACATAAAACCAAGTCCCTACGGTTCTTCGCCGAAGAAAACCAATAAAAGTCCAAAGCAAAGAATGTTCGTCCCATTACGAGAGATGGAACCTCATTTCTAAGCCCTCAGCTGCTTTTGGGGTTGGTTTACGCTGCAAAAAAAGCAAATCTTGGCAATAAGCTATCATCAGCCCCGCAGGACAAGGAAAAATCCCCAGCAAAGACCGAAACGAAGGAACATTCTTCCGGTAAAACTGACATCCTCTGCGACTCGTAGTTTCTCTTATAAAATAACACTAAGAAAATTGCTTTCCTGTTTAGCCTTCGCTTTAAACTTTTTTCCTTTCTTAGACATTTAGCTTTTCTTTTCTTTTCTTTTTTTCATCGTTATCCACTTACCTATTTTGCTCTTGAGATCTATACATTGCGATATGTGTGGAAACTGGAGGATTTTGCGCCATTTTTTGCTTTTTCCCTTATTGCTGTCGGACCCTCCTGGAAAGAAATGGAAAAAAGACAAAAAATTGTTACCAAAATGCTGACTTCAACTTTGGATCTTAAAGCTCATAAAATGTGAAAATTAACACAAACAGCCCCAACCCTCTTACAGCAGCTTCTAGAAAGTCTATTGAAAGCTGTAATATCACGAAAATGGCTTTCGACGCTGAATCAACAAACGCAAATGATGAATTTTAATTCAAAGAACCGCTGCTGCTGCTGCTGCTGGTACCGGGAAAACGATTCATTAAACGATGGAAATGAAGTCATTATGCTGTTTCAATCCATTTCCAGTAATTGAGCTAAATTTAAGCAACTGCACACCAAGATCAGTAAACTCAAATCTGAGTATAGTTGACTAAGAATTAACCAAAACCGCACCTGAGCTAGTCCACGCTAAATACCTAGCGAAAAAAATAAAAGAATTACATGAAACTTCACAAATTGTACTGGAAATCGGCCATTTAGACTCTCGCCTACTTTTTCAAAATGGTGTATTCGATATTTTTTCATAAATCATACGGTACATCTAATCGAAATGACGTCTGAGACAAACCTTTAAGAAGCTAGATTTCCTTTTCAGAAACAAAAAGAAATACACACTGAAAAAAATTTACAATCAAATTTACCTTAAAAACTTCGTTGAAAATTTCGTAAATCATGTTAACTGACATAACCCCAAAGCTGCAAAATGCGTGTCGATGCATGTTGACATGGCTGGTTCTCAGCAATACAATGACCAATGGTTATGATTCAGCCACCAATCGAAAGATATGGCTATCTAATTTTATTTTGAATAGATAGAAAACCAATTGGACCTGTGGTTGGCCAGCCGGAACGGAAAAACCCGGAAAGGTCCCGAACAAAATACGTGTCGATTCATGTTGACATGACTGGTTCTCGGCAATTTGGTTACCAAATCTTAAGATTGAGCCACTACATGAAATGTATGACTATCTACTTTCAAACGGAACAGAAAAGGAACCGATTGGAGTTGTGGGTGATCAATCGGATCGATAAAACCCGTGAAAGGTGGCTTTGTGGAAATTCGGATTCACCGGGAAAATGGTCAAATCCGGAAAGAAGACCTAGAGATCCGCGATTTTTTTCTAAATTGCATACAATCATGAGCATAGAGGAAATATACCATCATCATATCGATTCTGCAACCAAGTGGCCAGAAAACGGTCCTCTGGATATCCGAAATCACCGGGAAATTAGTCAATTCCAAAGTAGACCTAGAGATCCGCGATTTTTTCTAAATCACATACAATCATTATCATAGAGGAAATACGACATTTAAGGTCTCAATTTTGCTACCGGCTGGCCAGAATACGGTCCTCTGGATATCCGGAATCACCGGGAAAATAGTAAATTCTTAAAAGTTGAGTTGAGTTAGTTGAGAAGACATATGTCAGTGCCACATTGATTTGGTCCCACAGGGGTTATTGAACGCCCTTCTGGATATCCGGATTCACCGGGACAATGGTCAATCCCGGAAAGTAGACGTAGAGATCCGCGATTTTTTTTATAAATTTCAAACAATCATGAGCATAGAGGCAATAAACCTTCACCATATCGATTCTCCAACCAATCGTCGCGAAAACGGTCCTGTGGATATCCGGAGTTACCGGGAAACTAGTTAATTCTTCAAAGTAGACATGGAGATTTTTCTAGATTTGCTTACAATTATGAGCATAGAAGAAATTTGTCATCATCATATCGATTTTGCTACTTGGTGGCCGGAATACGGTCCAATGGATATCCGGAATCACCATGAAAAAAAAAATTCAATTCTTAAATGTTGACCTAGAGATCCGCGATTTTTTTTTTTCTGAATTGCATACAAGCAAGAGCATACAGGAAATATGCCATCACTACATCGATTCTGCTACCGGGTAGCCAGAAAACGGTCCTCTGGATATCCAGAATTACTGGAATCAAGGTCAATTCCTGAAAGTAGACCTAGAGATTCGTGAAAGGCGTTCAAAAATAACCCTATAGAGATAATGATAAAATTTTGTCAGTAGAACTCCTCTACAATATGTAGGGCTGGTGGGCATTTTATACAATAGTATTGACTACAATAACGAAAAAACGTGACCGAATAGTGAGTTTAAAACAATAAAAAAGTGACCAATAGTGACATTTATTGATCGGAAAGATATTAAAGATATGGATCTAATATGTTGTGGAATGTGATCCGCTTTGACAAATATTATAAATTCTCAAACCACCATGAGCATTTTACAAGCTTTTTTTTTTAATAAAACAAATGGTTTAAGCATCTTATAAATTTGTTTTCGTAAAATCAGTATTGTTATTTTTTTTTATTATTGTCACTTTAACACTCTTGGGTCATTCGTGACTTGTCCGGGGTGATATTTGAACTCGTGACTTTGGTGTGAGAGGTATGGATGTTAACCACTACAATTTCAATCGACTTTTTCGAGTAGTTGACCCTGGGCGTAATTCATGGCAATTTGGTGGCCCGGTTCTTCGTCCAGGATTGATTGTTTTTTATACAGATGATTCAAGATTGAACAATCAAGTGGGAGCAGGAGTAACTGGCCAAGGGATAGAAATATCGGTTCCTATGGGCAGATGGCCAACTGTGTTCCAAGCTGAAATCCAAGAAATTTTAGTGTGTTCCGTTATATGTTTGCGTAGAAACTATAAGAGTTCAAATATATGCGTCATGTCCGACAGTCAAGCTGCTCTAAATGCTTTAAAGTCGGCGACATGTACATCAAAACTTGTCTGGGAGTGTGTTCAATCACTTCAAAAATTGTCTTGTCATAATCAAGTCAACTTATATTGGGTTCCTGGTCATTGCGGAATTGACGGAAATGAAAGAGCTGATACACTAGCAAGACTCGGATCTTCTCATAAGTTCATAGGGCCAGAGCCTTATCGGCTCGTGGCTTATCGGCTGCATCTCTTAGAATGGAGCTAAAAGCGTGGGAATCTTCAAAAGTGGAGGAAAACTGGAAGAACACTTCCATTGACTAGGCAGTCGAAGCGATTCAATCCAAACATTTCTGTGACCCACAAAATTCTGGAACTATCTAAGAAAGATCTTAGCATACATACAGGTCTTATAACAGGTCATTGTCCGAGCCGTTATCACTTGGAGCTGATTGAAAAACTTCAAGATGATGTATGTCGCTTCTGTGGCATAGAAAAGGAAGCCTCGGAACATTTGCTATGCCACTGTTCGGCAATTTTCAATAAAAGGCGTAAGTTCTTCGACAAGGGGCTGATAGAACCCTTTGACATTTGGAGAACAACTCCCAGTACGGCAGTGCACTTTATTTGAAGTATAATGCCGTGCTGGGATAATGCTATTAGTCAAACGATGGCGATCACTCCTAATAATAGTGATACGGCATCTTGATATAGCTAAAGAAAAAAATGGGGAATATATCACAATAGATCAGAAAAATGGTCGCATTGATGAAAATACCCGACAAGGAAAAAAAAAACCACTACGCCGGGGTATTATTTGGATAATCAATAGGTATCTGTAACCTCCATTTCCTCACACAGTACTCTTTTTTCTGTAACGATTTTTTTTGGAAAGCAACCGTTGAAAATTTAGAACCAGATCGCGAATTTGTTGAATTTCGGAATGTGAAAGATTGAACATAGAAATTTATTAGGAAATCTTGAAATTGAAAAAAATGAGGCGCATAGAAAAATGTTTAACGTCTTGGACAAATTTGTCAATTTTAAGACAAGCAATTTTAAAGATCTCGAATATAGAAACTTCTGTAAAACTTCAAACATAGACAAATTTTCATATCTCTGGAACCTAGAAAAGTGTTCTGGATCGTATCGATAAATATCATTATTCTGGAACGACGAAAATTTTCTCGAAAAATCTCAATCTTCAAAAAAGTTGTAAGATTCTGGTATACATTTTAGAGACATTTACATTTTTTTTGTTTAATACTAGTACTTAGTAATTCGCGATCTTTAATTCAAATAAATTAAGAAAGCGTAGAATAATTTACGATATTTTAGAATGTAAGGGACTGTTCATAAACTACGTAGGCAGTTTAGGGGGGGGGGGGGGGGTTGGCAATCATCCACGGTCCATACAAATTTAATTTTTTTTGTATGGACAATTGTCTACGCAGGGGGAGGGGGGGTCACGAATAAAAAAAAAACTGTCTACGTAGTTAATGGACAGCCCCTAACTTCACAGTCCGAAAAAAAATTATTTTTTCTAAAATATAGAAAAGATTTCATGATTTTAAACATAGAATTTATCTAAAATCTGGGATTGGAAATTTGTTGATTCCGGACTTGTAGAAAATACAATTTGATGGGATTTGAAAAAAACTACATGATTTTTCGATGTTTGCCGATACTAAAACTTCCAGCCTTCAAAGACTTATCGAAATTCAGGTCTTTGAAAAAATCTCTATCGCTTGCTAAGTTTCCCAGACCGTTTTTCAACATATTAGGCTTGGAAAACTTTCAAGATGACGACAGAGATATCGGAACCAGCGTTTATTTTCTCGAAACTTCAGAAAATTTGTGATATCTCAAGATCATAGACAATGGAAAAAAAATTCAAAACCTGTTTTTTCCGGTTGTTTTTCCAGTTGTCTAACCTAGTTTTCCCAGTTTAATTGAAACAGTTAAATATGGTAAAATACCCCAAGTATCATCACTAGTTTTATCGCATGATAAAACCCAAATCCTTGCTTGAAGCATATTTTATTATTTCGCTTAACTGTTGACTGTTGTATGCTTTAGACAGTATGTAATATGTAGTAAGGTCAAAATATGTTATTCTCAATTGTGGATTGGAATTGAGAAGATAAATGTAAGGAAATTCCAATTATGATTTTTGAAATAATCTTTAAAGAATCTTTACAGGATTCCAAGAGGATGATTTGAGAATTCTTAGCAAAATTTCAAGGAAAGTATTTTTTATTTATAGTAATTTTTACACTCTCGGATCATTCGTGCATTATCCGGGTGAG